CACCACTCCTGTTCATCCATATCCCTTTCTCATCCTCACTAACCATCCATTGTTGTGTAGCTGCTTCTACCTCTGCAAGGGCTTAGGGGGATGCTGAGAGACAGGAAAAGAGAATAGGGAAGAAAGACCTGGGGGAGTGGGAGCATGGGGGGGAATTGAGGACCCAGAGACTGTGGGGGTGTAAAGAGGAGACAAAGGCTAAAGGATGACGGATTCAGGAGGAATGAGTAGGCAGAGGCTGGAAAGCACAGATGTGACAGCTGAAGGGAGTGCAGCAGGGGGAGAGAACCTGTCTACAAGATCAGTAGCTGGCTGAAGGTGGAAAGTTTGGGATCTGGGGTGAAGAAAGGGATGTGGTGCAAAGCTATAGGCAGGCACCACCAGGAGAGAAGAAGCAGTAATGGGAAGAGGCACAGAGCTAAGAGAGGTAGGGGGGGCTATGGGAGTTTTAATACTCGAGTTTAAACTGTAGGCCTGCAAGCTTTTGTAGGCAGTAGAAGAGAAAGAGCACTATTTATTGGCTCATAAGAATACATAAGGTTGCTTATAAGTTGTAGTATCTATAAACTTACTGTTGTTGTAGGCAGCTAATAGCTTCCAAGATTATGTCTCCTACAGTGGTGATGGGCAGTGGGAGCATTTTGAAAGCAGCTTGCTGCTAAGAGTCCTGACACCATCTGGCATTTTTGGGGAACTACCAACCTCTTAAGTTCAAAAATCATGGAGCCAGCGCTTCATCCCTTTGATTATGAGGTGAAACTGATACTGCATTTTTTTTCTTTTTATTTTCTTAATGTTTGAACCGCTCCTTTGCTGGTGAGTGAGTGGGGGACAGGCGTGTCTAATCCAGCAGGACTAACTCTCCCACACGCAGAATTAAGATGGCTCTGGCTCGGCTGCAGGAGCACTTGCTGAAGAGACCCTGCTGAGATCCAGTGACCCAGATCTTTATAAAGTGCTGCAAGACAGTGCAGGGAGCTGACAGCTTCTCCCCATCCCCACACATTCCAATTAATTAATGCTTTTCTCCTCCAGCCAGGCAATTAATTACACATTGCCCAGCCCCAACATCCATTTTCCCCCAAGCCACACACCTGCTCCTTCTGCATCTCCAGGGGCTTCTCATCCTCCTCCCAAGCCAGGTGATGCAGTGGGTGGGGAAAGGAGTGGGGAGAAGCAGACACACCAGGGAGGGAGAACAGAGGAAGGAGACTGTCTGCCCTGAGCAGCTGGGTTCTTTCTGCCCTTTTTCCTCCCCTCCTTCCTATGAGAATAGGAGCTGTTAAATCATCTCAACAGCAATTACAGAAGCTTGAGAATGGGAGAAAAGGCCATGCCTGCCTCATACAAGAGCTCTGATTGGTTGCCTCTTTCCCAGGAGGCGGGCCAGTGGGGAAGGCAGCCAATGAGAAGTTGGGTGGGAAAGGCCTTGTGAAGTACAGCTTTTCAGATGGTCCTAACTCTTACTTCCTATGCTGGCCTTGTGCACCGGAGCATGGACATTTGGTTCCCTGGGTACAAGTAGCAGCGGCACACCTTGGCCCTGGGGAATGCCTATGCCACGTGCCCTCTGGTGCGCAGCAGGTTATCCCAGGTGGGGTAGGCCTGTTTGTACCTAAAAAACAGGTGGGCCCAGCCCACCAAGTCCCTCATTGGCTTCCATTAGAGGGGAGGTCACAGGAAAAGGGGATAATAGAGTTCATGGGACAAAGAATGAAAAAACACGGACAGGAGTGTAGGTCAGAGGTTTAAAACAAGTATGTCTCCTGGATGGGGTAGAAGAACACTGGGCTGGCCCCAGCAGCCTTATCTGGGTGCCTCTTAGAGGTGCAGCAGCAGCTATCCTGCTGCTCAGAGCCTGGCTGGCAAGTGGAACATGGCTGTGACTGGCCAGGCTCCAGTTTTGGGCTGTGCTTGCTGTCCCCATGTGAGCCGCCCTGCTTTTTTTCCCCATGGTTTTGACCCCGGGATCTCCCAGGATCAACACTGCCCCCCTCCCCATGCTGCTACCTTGCAGCACAGAGAACTCCTGAATGTGCAGCATGTGGTGCCATAGATGTGTCTGCAGTGCAACATACTGTATGGACATGCTCGTCTGGACATGGCCACTGGGAGCATCAGTGGGTTTGTGCTCCTCCTAGCAGGAGAAGCCAGAGAGGTCTAAGAGACCTTGTAAGGGAAGAGAGAAGGGAGAGTATTGGAGGGGTTAGGGTGGCGGTTAGTGGTGAGAGAAGGGAGATTCAGCGGGAGGGAAATTGCAAGCGTCTAGGGAGGGCCAGGCAGGAAGGTATACATCAAAGTTGGAAGGGAGTCCTGAGATTTAGGGAGAAATTGCAAGGGTGCAGGTAGGGAGGTTTGGGAGGGCCACGTGGGAAGATCCACAGGGGTCTGGGCACCAGCTAAGGTTTGCAGTGGCCAAGATTTAGAAGCAGGTAGACTTGGCAGACACTTGGTGCAGGTAGAGCTGTAGGGGAATGTGGCTAAAAGGATGACTGCTCAGGGGAGAGGAATGGGGGTAGGATGGAACTGATGCTGATGTGAGGGGGGCAGTGCGCTACTGTGAGTAGTGGGCATTGCCCACATTAACTAAAAAAAACCCAGTCATACTCAGTTCCCTCTCTCTTTCAGCATTTGCTGCCTGCCCCTGTGTGACATGGGACATCTTTACTGAAAGGTGAAAGATTTCTGTGATCTGAAGAGAAATCAAAGTAGGGCCAACTGGGCAAGATGCACCTATGGCCTGACCCAAAGCATGGCAGCTCTTATGTACTTGACCAGCTGTGGGCATGGTTTGCCTGGCACCCTCAGCAGAGATCAGGGGCCTGGGACTGCTGGGTGCTGCACAGCCCCCTGCCTCCAAAGGATGCTCTTGCTGGGCAGCCTCAGCCAACCCTGGCAAAGAGCCCTCCCCTCCCCCTCCAAGGATCCATCCAGGCAGTGCCCCCTGGCACGCACACACGCCGCTCTCACTCTCCCTGTCTCTCGTATACACACACAGATCTCTCTCACACACACACACATGCACAGATGCCTTGCACACACCCACATGCACACCCATCTCTCTCACACACACAGATGCACACAATGCCTTGCATACACACACACACACACACAGAGCTTTCTTTCTGACACACACAGATCTCTCATACCCAGACATCTCTCACACATACAATCTCTCACATCTACACACACATTTAGGCACACACGTCTACAGACCCACACACCGAGCTTTCACATGCACATAAATCTCTTGTACACACAGATCTCATGCACGTCTAGACACACTCATAGAGCTGTCTCGCACTCAACCTCTCACACTCATCTACAGACACACACAGTTCTCTCTCCCGCACACCCCCCCAGATCTCTCTCTCACACACGTCTACACATACACAGAACTCTCTTTCTGACAGAAATCTCTTGCACACAGGGATCTCTCTCACACAGAGCTCTCTCTCACACGCGTCTTGCACATGCACGTGCATCCAGAAATCTCTCTCACACACACACACACGAACACAGACAGGGCATGCTCACACACATCTGGCATGCTTGCACAAACACAGACACGCACACAGCACCCCTCCACACACAAGCACACAGACACATATACACACAGCACCCTCTCACACACACACACACACACACGCGGCTTGCTCACACAGACACAGACACCCCCCCCCACACACACACACACAAGGTTTGCTCACACACACGCACGCCCAGACCCCCCGCGCCGCTGCTAGGTGGAGCCCGCGTCCGTGCAGCCGGCGCGGGGTCCAGATCCGGGTTTTCGCTGCTCCCTCCCCGAGCTGCGCGGCGCTCGCTTCCCCGGCTCATCGCAGCGCAGTCCAGGCAGCTCGCCGGGCCCGCTCGGAGCTGCGGCCGCCGCCTGCCTCCCTCCCTCACTCCCACCCGCCCGCGG